CCTTCTCAACCTTCAGGGCCCTGGCTTTTTCTTCCATGAAGCCTTCCTAGATTTCCCTAGTCAGACAAAATAAATTCTCTGTACACCCATTGAAGTTTGTCTATACCTATATCACAGTCATGACCGCAGCCTGGTTAACAGAGTGGTGAACTGTGCACCAGCATCAGCCCCAAAGGTGTGGGAGTTCCATTACTCCCCAATTCTATAACTTTGGGAATATTATGAGCCTATTTCTCATCTACACAGGGAAACATTAATACCTGCCTCACGGGGTTATCTTAACAATGAGATGATATGTATAAAGAAATCAGAACAGTTCCTGGGACGTGAGCAGTTACTTGTTCCTGGACTTGCTCTGACCCCTTTCTGAAGACCCCACATCACATCTCAGTCATGCCTGTGGGTTCCGGAGTCCGACCCCTGGCACTGAAGCCCAGCTCTATCACTTACCAACTGTGCGGTTTTGAACAAGTTCTTTGTCTTCGCAGTGTCTGTTTCCCCATCTGCAAAACGGGTACCCAATTGGATGGACTGTTAGGACGATTAGGTAAGATAAATACAGTCAACACTTAGAGCAGTGGTTGGCATAGAGGAAGTGCTAGTAAGTGTCACAGTTGCTATCTCTACATCCCCGGATCCAGCACAAAAACTGGGGGAGAGTGTTCAATAAATGTTGCATTGTATTAAACCCTGTTTCTCTTTGCAGTGTAATTTAGTTAAGGCTCTTCCCGGCATTAACAATGGGAGCCCATTCCATTACAATTTAGGTATTGTTTTGGTAACCACTGTTTATAAAATGTCAAGTTCTACACTCTCATTGCTTGGTGAGCCATCAGGGAGTGTAAATGTGGGTACAATCATGGGCAGTTTACTTAGTCTTGGATTGGCTGCTCTGAAACTCACAAGGTATTATTATATACATGTAATTTGATTAATTTGCCTATAGCCTGTCAAATGAACTGCACCCCCCCAAAAAAAGTATATTAAAACATTTTATGTCGATTTTGAGGTAGTTGTTTGCAATATATAGAGAGAGATCATCTAACAGGATAAGGAAATATTGCAAAAAACTCTAAAATAAATAAGATATCATCCTCTCATTTCTATAAATGTTTTGCCATTATTTTATTCTGGATGTAACGATTTAAAAAAGAAACCCACAGAATCTCTAATCTATACTGATAGTTGAGGCAAGATGAGATATATTCCCTATATCTCTGAATTTTGTTCTGGAGTTTGTTATCATAATGCTTCAGATGGAAGCCGCTGTTGATTGTTGAGGGAGGCGGGCAGGGGCGCGGGGGGAGTATAGGGAGCAGTTCTCACTGACATTGACCCTGCTGAAGAAGCACTTACAGGGGCGCCTGGGTGGTTCAGTCAGTTCAGCGCCAGACTCCGGCTCAGGTCATGATCTCACAGTCTGTGGGTTCGAGCCCCATGTCAGGCTCTGTGCTGACAGCTTGGAACTGCAACTCCCTCCCCTCTCTCTGCCCCCCTGCTTGCATTCTGTCTCTCAAAAATAAATAAACATTAATTTTTTTTTAAAAAAAGAAGCACTTATAGTCAGAAGATGTGAAAGAAAAAAGGTGAAAGGAAGAAAACAAATTCATTATAATATTCAAAACTTGAGTCTAATGAAGGGTTTCTCAACCTTGGCACAATTGACATTAGGGGCTGGATAAGCCTTGTGGGGCGGTGGGGGCCAGGGGGGTTGTCTTGTGCACTGAGGGATGTTTAGCAGCGTCCCTGCCCTCTACCCACTAGGTGCTAATACCACCCCCCACCTAGTTTTAACAACCCCAAATGTCTCCAGACATTGCCAAATGTCCCCTGAAAGGCAAAATCACCCTGGCTTGAGAATAAGTACCTTGACAGGGAAAATTAGTAAAGGTATGAGGTGGGGCATCTTATAGCTTATTTAAAATGTTCCCTATTTTTAAGTATTTTTATTGACACGCATAGGCTTATCATAAAACTGATTATCTGTACTACCAATAAAAAGACCCCAGGTCATGGTTCTGATACATCTCCCCAGAGATTAGCACCCAGAGTCCTCTGTCTGGAATGGGGTGATGAAGGTAAAGGGGTGACAAGGAAGCAAAGAGGTGCTTTAACAGGCCAGTTGATCTTTTCAACCAGCAAATCTGTTTTTGCCCACCTGGGAGGTGCAAGACACTGTAGTGAATGTGGAGGTACACTGCACTCAGGCTTGCTTTAAAGATCATACTTCCATGACCAATGATTTCCCACCTTCTGCTTTTTCCTTGTAATAAACACCTGGCTGGTATTTGTTTCGACTGAGGCCGTTACAGTTAGGCAGTCAGAAAATGGGACTGTTAAAAGAACAGGACACACAGCTCATTTCTCTGTAATAGTTCACTGAAATCATTTTAGGAAATTAACAATTACATTAATTGCCTAAATCAAGATTCCCTACTCTTCCTTGACAGTACATGTCCCCGACACCCCCATTTCTTCTTTAATAGAAATGCTGAAATTAGGGTAAAAACTTTAAACTTACACATAATGATGAAATTAATTTATAATGCGGAAAGAACACTTCCCCATACTGAATTAGTAATATTTCTATTTTTAAGTTTAGGGGATGAATAAAGGAACAAAAGTCTCAAGCAGACATGGTGTGCTCAAGGGGTTTAATTATGTGATGAGTAATAAAAAGAACTGGCATAAAGTCCATGGCACTAACATCTTCAAGGATTCCTATCTCCTTAAAACTAGAACATGTCTAAAGGTGTATCTCCCAACTGAACTACAAACAGGTATTTACTTCCAATAACCTTCATCGACGTTGAACTTCTGAAGCCAGTTTCCTCTGACGACATACATGCCTTTATTCATACTAGTTCTTCAGTGTGTTAGGGTTAAACACATGTTTACAACAGCAAAACAGCAGGAACTAGCAGTCACTGCCTGGGAAGAGACGCAGCTCGTGAAATACATACTAAGACACAGGCTGCTCTGATTTCGCGTGTGAGCTCGAGGAATCCTAACCCTCTGCCCTCTTCCAACCCACCATCCCCCACTTTAATTACACAGATCTTAATTTCTAGGAAGATCTTTTGCTATTTATTGAAAAGCAAATGTACTCTCAAATCCTAGGAGCCACTTTTATGATAGTGATTTCTGTGTTACACACTCTTACATGCAAGACCGCTCTGCTGAGAGGAACACAACCTGGGAAGTTAGGCTTCAATTCTAAACACTTACTAGAAGTGCGTCCAGGTCAGTGGCTCAATTCCTCCTGGTCTTATCTAGAAAGTGGGTATAATTACTTGCCCTTTCTTACCTGACATAGTTGTCCTGAGGTTCATGTAAGAAAATGTAGTTGTCAAGAGAAAAGGCTGTGTTCCTACCAGTGCTGTGGCAGAAACGCTCTCATAATATGCATGTGAGAGTCCAATTCTTTCAGCTGAATCAGCTTCTTTGTTCATGCCTTACAGAGAGCTGGCGGTATTGTGTCCCCTGCTGTTGAAATGTGAATACATTAGGTCATTGGCTAAAAGAAGAATGATACTAGAAGCAATGCCTCTTTAAAATGAAGGTGAAAATACTGAAATAAAAAGTTAAAAATCTTCAAAGACGAGGCAACTACCTCAGTGCATTAAGAGCATAACTTCCGTTTGTGCACCCAAGAGGAAGGAAATAAAACTAATCCTAACCAGAATTTCTTGGTGTTGACACTTTCTGATCTGCTTCATCATTTTGGTTTATTTATATTTCTGACTCCCAGGGCTCTCAGTGCCCTGGGCTTCTGGGACCCAATCCCTTGTACCTTTTCTTTACACCTTCCCCCAAGCAACACCAAAACAGTTCTGATTAATGTCAGAAACTTCTTAATTAACTGAATGTTAGCTGAAATAGATTTCAGGAAGTATTAACTGATCTACATCTTAACTCTTAAATTTCTTGTTTAAACTGTAGGGAAAGGTTTGGGCACCCTACAAACAAATGCGGTGCACCTCAAATCCGGTTTCTTTTTTCTTTTGGGGAAAGGGAGTGGAGGTAGTCATATTGGGGAGTATGACTGACAGAAAACGTCTTATATTCTCATTAAGGTAAGAAGGTTTATGTTCTCCAACAGAACGGTTCTCAGGTACAGAAGAACTTATCCATTTTTCTATTTTGAATTCTTAGAATAATGTCAATTCGTAACCCGCAGTTGATATTCAACTGACGTTTGTCGAATTCAATCATCTTGCTTTGGATCTGTCAGGCGGACGGGAAGAAGGGGTCTCCTAGCATCCTCAGTCCCCTGAGATTTGTCCTTAGCTGGCATCCCTGAGAACACTCAGATGGAGGCTTGGCCATGTCTATGAATCCAAATCCATCCTTGAGTTCCCTGGCATTCTTGGATTTGAGTCCACACTTAAATCAGTATTTAATGTCTTCATACTGATGTCCTAGAATGCCTTAATATTATTTTTATTATTTCCACCTCTGGTTCTGGGCTTTCCATTAAAAAAACCTTTGTCACAATGCACTTTCTTACTTCTTAATGCTGAACAACTGAGAAAAGATACAAAAGATATAAAATCCATCTTAACCAACAAGTCCCTTCCATCAAGAGTTGTAAAACTTTCCATCCACGTTTTTGGAATTATCTTTTGACTTTAACATTTTTTAATACATATTTTTTTTAATTTGAAGGAGAAGTTTTGAAGTTTCCCAAAAAACCCAGTAACTTGCTCACCAATTCAGTAAACCAGGTTACCAATTATTTTTTATTTGTATTGCACACAATATTTTACAGAAAAAAATAGAGAACCCCTTACTGTTAAATCAATTAATTACATGTTTTCTTCTGATTCTTCTCATACCTAAACTTTTACATAAATATAATCAGTACATAAAATAATTTAACACTTTTGAATCTCATTTAACATTTGTTCATACAATTTTACATATATCAATATCATTTAATTACTATATAACAGTCTATAATAGCAATATCGATACATCAAAATCTGCTTATCCATTTCCCAATTTGGGGGCTTTTTTTTCCTTTTTTTTAAAAACCCGTATAAATGAGAATGCTAGAACTATCTTTGTATAAGTAGCTTCTTTTTCTTTCTTTTAAATATTTTCCTAGGCATATGCTGTTCAAACTGAGTTGATCTAGCAAAAAAGAATTGGTTACAGAGCTTTTGTTGTAATCACTTAAATAGTTCTTTTTAAAATTACTAATAATGCTACTGACATAAAGACACGTGAATTTTAAAATGTTTTGCTGTAATAGCATAAACCAGGTCAAAGTTGCTTCAATTTGCATTTTTAATACACTTAAATCTGAGTATCATTCCAAGAATTCACTTTTATTTGTAGCTTCTCATTTATACTCTATCCTTTCATTAATTTGCTTAGTAAAGAGTAGAAAGCCTTATGGATCTGTATCTACTTTTTAAAAAACATTAAGTACTTTATTCATGTGTAATGCTAGTGGCTTTTTTTGAATCCAATCTTATCTTCGTTTTCCTCCTATTTAGTTTCCATTTTTAAATTTTTCTTTAGTTGATTTCACCTACTTTGCCAATAGTCTTTTTCATTGCCATAAAGTTCCTTTTGTACTACTGGAATGAGAATTGTAGTCTTTTTATTTATACCCTTATAATCAACATTTTCATTCATCTGGAATGAATGGTCTTATCACATGTCAAGTGGGCCCAATTCTTTTTTCATACTAACATCCAGTTAGTCTCTCCACCAGTAATTATTCCACAATTATTTGTTTTCCAATTGGTTTACTCATCTTTAAATCCTAAAGTAACTTTTCTAAATATACTATGAGGCTGAGTAGGAAGTTCAGGGGCAAGACTCTCACTTTTTTTCCCCAAGTTAAAAAGACAAATCTATCTTTCCTTGCCTATTTTCCTACTTTACACAATTCTGTCAAATTATACAAAGCATCAGTTAGAAAGCTGAGTGGAAGGGTAGTAAATCTACATTACTAATGTCAGCTAGGGGCACTCCTTTGGATAGGATTTCATACACATTACCTAACTTAATCCTCACAATAATTTGGCAAGGTATTGTTCTATAGACGGTGAAATCATTTTGATAGGTCTACACCTAAGGACAGACCCAGTAAAACCACTCCACCACATTCAAAATACGCATAAAGATTAATACCAATTCTGTTTTCAGCAAGCTGTAAATTTCTTAAATCTTTGTCTCATTTTCCTCACCTTTTAGCCTAGTAACATCTGCATTTCTTATAAGAAATGCATGTTGTTCAGATCAGAAGATCTGATTTGACAAAGCATTACTTTGTCAAAACTTGGCCAAATTCCGCTGCCATGAACTCCATTGCTCTAAGCCATATTTTTAATGAATCCTAATCTTCACGTTCCCCTGATCTGAGAATAAGCTGAGACCGGAGTCTGGAACAAGGCTGCATGACTTCCACGAGCACGTCTCCCCTGCGGCAGGAAAGGCACGCTTCTAACAGTGAATGTCAGAAGAAAGACTGAAGTCAAGACAGGCTGGAGTCCACGGTTGGCTCTTCCACATCTCAGACTCTGGGCAAATTATTAATAATTGTCTTCCTTCTTTAAAAATCTATTCAATATCAGCCTCACAAGGTTGTTGAGAAACTGTCATCAGAGAGCACAGGAAGTGCCTAGCACATAGAAATGTTCCATTCCAGAACAAAAATTGCCTTTGAAGGGCTCGCTTCCTACAGAATTATCACTTTGAGGAACGGAAACAGGAGACTGAAGGGGAAGGCAGTTTACCTCTTCTCACAACTCCATAGGTTTTACATCTGGAGTACCACAGTTTTGGCTTCTGATGGTTCTAGAAAAAATGTCTCTGTTCCTTAGAAAGCTATGGATGGTTTTGAGAAACCATCTGTAATCCCAGGTTAGAAATGCCTCACTCCATTTCTTCTTAGGAATTTCATAACAGCCAATCTGAAGTACCTTTTCCTGGGGCAAGATATTTTTTTCCTTTTGGCCTGAGTTTATTGCTGGAAATTCTTTTCTCTTAGGTGCCAGCACAGGGCTCTGTAGCAATTTTTCCAAAGTATTAAATCAGAACTATTTCTGAAGCATTAAATCAGAACTAACCTTATCCTCTAGATTTCCTCTGGGACAAACGTCCCAAGAATGAACTCTTCAATGACTATATGAACTCTCCAGCACTTTCTGTAATCTTCTGATTGTGGTGGTGTCCCTGCCTCATAAGTTAACAAGGGTCAAACGGGGAAACTGAACTGCAAAGTGTATTGTAAACACCAGACCTTGACAAATAAAGGATCATGCAAAGCTAATCTTTTAACAAATGGCACTTGCGTTAAGTTGCTATTGCTACCGTCATGTCTGTACATTGATATTATATACAAAAGACCCATATAATTTACTGTATAACTATTCAGAGGTGATAGCAACTGTAATAACTGCAAAAGTAATTAAAATATTCCTTAGATATTATTATTATAGATGAATACAATCTGAAGATCATTAGTAGATACATATTACCTGCCTTTAAGCATAGTTGCTAATATGGAACCCTCACTTATACACCCAATACTAAAATAAAGCTAAATTGTCCAACAGTCAATCAATCAGTTACTGATAGGTTAACAAAGACACCCAATGACTGAATGTCTCAAACAGAATTAAAGACAACATCTGCATAGCATCCATCATATAACCAGTTCTAATTATTCATATAGGAAACTGTCCTTTAAATGAAAATACTCTAAACCAGGATGAAGGCCCAAAGTAGCATCTCCAGTTTGCTTCCTCCTAGTCTTCTTCAAGGTGCTTCCCTACGCTTTCTAGGTTGTTGCTTCCATCAGAGGAGTCTAGTTTGGCCACGATTATGTTATTGGTTCCAGGAGCCTCTGGTTGTTTATCATCACCATCAAAGATAATGTCTTCTGGATTTGGAGGTGGGGGACAGAATTCTTCACTGGGAAAGATCTCCTGGAACAGTGTTTCAGCTTGCTTGACTGCATGCTCATTTCCCAGTCCACAGTCAGGCCCAGAGCAGACGTAAACATTAGAAGGTAAGCCATGATATGAGCTTCTGCTGACTCCGGAGGAATCTCTCATATTAAAATAGAGAGCCCACAAGAGTCTTGGCTTTGTAAGTTCCTCCTCATCTATTGCTGCTTCAGTATATGGGGTGAATAATTTCTTCACCACCGGCTCTAAGTCTTCTCTTGCTGTTTTAGAGGATGAACAGGTCAGATGTACCAAATAGGTGTCTTTCATGCACGTCATGGTTGAGGAACATAATTCAGTGACACGAACGGCATATGTTCCTGATTCCGCTGGGGGCACTATCAAAACGGAAATCTGCTGATCTGAATCTGCCTTTAGTATAGACTGATCGGTAATGAGCACTGCCCTGGAGATCTGCTTATACTGTACATTTGAGCATGTTTTCTGAGAAAGGTAACTATCTTCCACAATAAAATATTTAGCATTTATTCTTTGACCTAAGTGGTCTATAATTGCTTTACAGCTTCCAGATTCTTTGTCAACTACAAGGCATTGAACTTTATGGCGAAGACAATAGATTCCACCAAAAACTGCACACATCCTGCAGAAACACTGGGGAATTTCTCCTTGGCCATATAAGGTAAATAAAAAGGGAGTATTGCCAAACCGTCCAAGACACCGAAGGAAGTTTTTCGTTGTTTTAAGGCCATCTATTGTACTGCAAGATGACTCTGTCATTGCAATTGAGTGCAGTACAAAATGCTGGAGGTTGGGAGTTAATTTTTTAGTTTTTAAGAATTCTGAAAATGAGCAATGCATGAAAGCTTGGTATTGGTCAGGGTGCTGTTCATAGTCTAAACAAAATGTAAGAAATTTCATCAGTATCCTCTTTTCAACCATAGTGAGTTGTCTGCTATTGAAGACATCTGCTCTGGAACAAGGCACCTGCTCTACTTTTCCTTCTCGAAATGCAAGAATCCTAGTGACGTTTTTAAACTCTGCATAACGACTAACACTTGATTTGATTAAAAGATCAATCAGCAATCCTTGAGAATACAGGAGCTTTGATACCAAATCAATATTAAACCTCCTGCTTTCTTTAACTATTTGAGAGTAAGTAATCCTATTTCTCTTTGGTTGATCACTGCTGACTTCCGCTATAGGTTTATTTTCTTCTGTATCTGCGTCTGAAGCTTTGTGTATACAAGTTTCATCTCCACAACACTTTTCTTTTGCCAAGGTGTCCTCGACATTGCTTACTTCTAGTGAAATCTCTCCATCACTTTTCGGAGTGTCTTTGGCAGGAATTTCGTCACTAGTATCAGATAATGAGTGTGTTTCTTCAGACAAATGTGCGGAATCCAGAGGCTTAGTGAGGGTATTCGACATCAATGAGGAAGGGTTTTTCTGGAGAGCAGCGGTCTCTTCGATTTTGTCATCCATTTCCTGACTGGCATAACAAAACACTTCTGTGTGTTGAATGGTTTCATCCTTCCTGCGCAGAGTGATGGCTTCTTCTGTTTCATGAATCAGGCCTTGCCATGAGGCGGGACTTTCTTCCGCAACATCACCGTTTTCCTGACACTCCTTCAACCAGGAGAGCAATCCCGAGAAGTTGAAACTGGCCCAGTTTCCTCCATAGTAGCTTCTTGAATCAAGATGCAGAACCCTCTGACCACATCTTGAACACGCAGCTGCGAGGATGGACTCAGGCAGACCTGTTCCTATTATGACCACGTCGAACTCTGTGGGGAGACTGTCCGCCATTCTGGAAGATAGAGCGTCTGCTGACAAGTGCCGGTAAAGGAAACGGGTATGAGTCTAGGCTGAGGGCTCAGCTGGGGCGTGAATGTGCCGTAATAAAGTCTCTCCTTGTGATATTCCAGTTCATCCCAGAAGTACTGAGCTGCAGGTCCTAGCTGTTTAACTGTTACCCTTTCTTAATATTGTTTTCCTTCTAGGTCAGTAGCATAAAAACATGATAAAGTATATCTAATCACATCTGAGAACGCTAAAACGGATGTGTGGTTTTCATGTCTGCATTTCATCTTAGCAGTAAATGTCAAAATGCATCACACATGCATTTGTGACTGGAACTCTTCTCTGAAAGAAGAAAATTCAAGAAAGAATACAATTGTAAACAATATTAAGAGAAAAGTTATTTCATGCAACAGCAATTACAATCCACTGGAGTCTGATTTGTTATGAGGACATAAAAGCCTCTAGGAAAGTAAGTCATTAAATGCTTTCTTACATGTTTTCTAATTTCTTGAAAACAGGGATTTACCCCCAAAATCACATAATGATAAAGACGGGATATCATAACGTCCCATAAAAATGAAGGACTCTTATAATACAATTCTATAAGTTTTGCTTTTTATGAAACTAATATTTGAATAGAACTATACAGAACTCTGATCTTAGACTATAAGAACTGTGTGGTTCCACCTGTTTATGGGCACGCTGTCATGATGAGGAATATTTCTGTGGCCAATTTAGTCAGTGCATGATTTTAGAACAGCTGAATGAAAAGACATTTCCATGCCAAAACCACCTGTAGGACCTCGTGGCAGCATCACAAGACTATTTCAAGTGAATTAACCAGTCAGATTATTGCAAAGGGACTAATTCAGTAAAACAGCTAGCATTCTGAAATATTTAGGTGCAGAAAAGGTCTACTGAAGGGAACGTGCATTTATAACAAATCTTTATATGAACGTACACACACGTGTGGTTTTTTTTAGGTGTAAACTAAAAAGGAGAATTCTTGCCTTTCTAAATTAAAATAGGTCCATATAAATAATACCTACTTCTAAAACCAACCAAACCAACAGAAGGTGACTTGCATTTTGCCAGACTCTGGCTCTGTGACCCTGAATCTCTATATCCCAAGATGAAGGCCTGTCTGAACATCCTCTGCCAACACTGACATGTTACTTGCTTTTCCTGAAGGGGTAGGAGGAGGCAGTGAAGAAAGGCTCCCTCGTTCATTCCTGGCATAACACTGGTTGTAAACCATGCACAGAACATCTGTGTGGCGCCAGGTGTGGCTAGAAGTGCGACAGCGAAGGGGGTACAAGGTATCCTGGCCTGGCGGTCCTCAGGCTGATGCACTATATGCACCATGTGATCTATCAGCTGTCATCGTGCAGCTAGAGGGGAGGTCTCTGAGGGCTAACTTTCCCCACCAGTATGCTTAGGAAATCTAGATCAGTACTAAATGGGCCTGCCTAGGCTAAGATGACAAATTACCTTGGACATTTATAAAGCAAGCCATTCGACGGAAAATTGGATTAAATCGACTAGTTCAACGAATGGACTGGTCAGTTTAAGTGAAGTGACGATCTCAACAGTCCTGTCTAGTCAAAGCCTCTGCCTCAAAAGCAGAGATTCTACTTGCTGTCAGCATTCCCTGAAAAAACAGGGACTGAGCACTGAATGAGGCAGCCGCCTGGCCTGCTCATACATGGATGTTAGCATTACTTACCCTGCTTTCTTCCAGCAGGGTGTGCAGAGGAAGACAGAACCCGGGAAGGTACAGAGGAAGTGTAACCACACCATGTGCTTATTATCGGCTTAGGAGACAGAGCGGAGGATACAAAGCATAAGTGCTACAGCCTACAGCTTCTAACCCACAGATGCCCAAAGAGTCCTCAAAATGCCAAGCACGTAGGACCGAACAACCTTAAAGAAGGTCACTCCTCCATGGCAGATAACAAAACTGATGGCAAGAGAGTTTCATGACTGGGCAACTCCACACAACCGGTTAGCCAGGCGACAGAGTAAAACCCATTCTCATGCCATCAGGCCAGGGGGCCTTCCACTTGACGGGGCAGCCTCCTCTGGAAACCTCCAGAGGGCAGAAACCTCTGGAGCCAGCAGCCACTTTGGGATGTTTAAGTTCCCTCCCCCAACAACACTCCACGCTAGTGCTCCCTCAGGGAGGGCAACGGGGGACACACACCCCTTTCTTCGACTTTAACTCTTATCTAGGAGCACGATCCTAGGAATTTACTTCAGGCAAAGAAATGCTCCTCATCTGGGCTAAGAACTGTTTAAGTTCCATCGTACCCTGACGTTGACTTGTCTCCCAGAGCTTAAACGCGTGTCTGTATTCTTGGCCCACAGTTTCCACTTCTAATTTAAACACAGAGACAAAGTCGTGGTGGAAAGCAGTACTGTGTGCCCAGAGAAACAGAGCAGTCAAACACACCGTGTGGGGAATGTTTCTATCAGTCGTAGATAATCTCTTGTGACTCGGAAGGAAGGGACCTCAGCAGGGAGGGGAACGGAGGAGGAAGAAGCAATGGAGCAGAAGGAGGCGCAGCAGCAGAATAAGGTCACAGAGAGGAGAGATGGAGAGGGGGGATGTACTAATAAAGAACTAAAAAAAAGTACTAATAAAGAACTCAGCATACCCTGTTTTTACACCCCCAAGCACAGAGTCCAGGTAGAAACAGAACTTGCCAGCACAGAAAAAGCACTTCTTGGAAATAGGAAATTTCGTGTCTGTGATCAAACAGCTGTAGCCCACCCCAGGGAGCGTTACCGATGGCACTTCACAAATAAGCTCCAACCACCCTCTTTCTGAAAACGTAGCCTGTCTACAAAACTGCCTGACAGGTATTTTAAGTTAGGATAAATAATATAATCACCTAGCCATCTACATCGCCACCTCCGCACACTTAACAGCCCCCTCCCAAGTTTCAATCTTCGTATAAATGAAATTCTCAGATTAATACTGATTGAGGAGGGGGGAAGTAGTATTGGAATATTAGAATCATTGAATCAATCACACGAATGAAATCATGATTTCTATGACTTTCTTTTGTTTCCTTTAAAATAGCAAAGAGTGAGTTATAGCAAAGAATTGGGTTGGCCACAACACAGGAGATTGGGGATTAAGAAAATTTCTGATAATGCTACAAAGATTTTGTTCTCAAAAACCTGCCAAGAGCAGAGCAGTAATAAATTATCAATACCTGTCAGGATTTTTTTTTTTTTAAGGAACTTTAAGACCCGAGAAGTACACATTCTTATTTCACAGCTCCCACAAGTGAAATTCCTGGAGCACACACAAAAAGATACTTCGCAGGCTTAGAAAATCATGTCCTCAACGACAGGTCGCGTGGATCATCCTTCAAAATGTCAAGTCTCCGTGAGACCTGAATCTTCCAAGGGATTAGGAATATTGTTGAAATAAATCTTCATTTTAACAATCTTAAATTCTCCTTTAATGAAATCTACTGGCTGCACAGCTAATCATCTGTCCATCTAGGCTGGGGTTCCCTGAGCCACGTGTGATCTCACCTTAGATCTGGGCATGCTGCTACCACTGAGGAGGTAAAACAGTAAAAACAGCTTGTGAGGCACAAGTCCCTTCGCACTATGACCGCCTGAACGAAGCCCTCTCACTTCCCAGGAGGCATTCAAAGGTTTACATCCGCTAACGAGCAAAATTAAAGAAAGGAGCTACACACTGCCACTCGGCTACATCTCTATTTCTCATTTTAGGAAACCATGCTGAATGAAGAGGGTTACTCTTCCCACCCCCTCTGCAGCTTTCAGGAGTTAGTCATTCTTTCTTGCCTCTGGTGACTCTACAGCCCCTCGCGTCTCCCCTCAAAGTGTAAAGCCGCTGCTGCGGGGCCTGTTGAATTGCGGCGGGTGGTGAAGACAGGAAGGAGACGAAGCGGACTGTGGGTGGAGGGCGTGGGGAAGGGGCTGCGGCTGAAGCCGGGCCGGGCTTGAGGGCCGCAGGCGCGGAGCCGGGGCCGCCGCGGGGGGCTGAGCGGGGTGAACGGAGGAGGAAGGCAAGCCGCGCAGCTCGCGGTGCGCGAGCAGAGGCGAGGCGGGCGCGGGGCTGCGGGGCCGGGGGTAGGCCGGCGCGGTGGGGGTGGGGAGGCCGGCGCGGGCAGGGGGCTAGGTGGCGGGGGGACGCGCGGGCAGGGGGCTGCGGGCCGGGCAGGGGGCGGGGTGGCGGGGGGACGCGCGGGCAGGGGCGGGGAGGCGGGGGGACGCGCGGAGACGGTGGCGGGGCGGGGGTCGGGAAGTTTGCAGAGGGGAGCACGCTTTCTCCTCCCGGCCCAACTCACCGAAGAGGCTGCCGCTAAACCCGTCCCACACGCAGCCCACGGTGTCCCAGACCCAGCCGTTCCTCAGGCAGGACACGAAGGTAAAGGTGACCCCGAAGAGGGACACCAGCAGGTCGCTGAGGCTGATGTTGACGAGCAAGAGGCGGGTGGGAGAGCGGAGCCGCGGGAACCGGTAGTAGACGACGAGCACCAGCAGGTTGTTGCCGACGCCCAGCAGCCCGATCGAGCCGAGCAGCAGCGCCAGGCGCTCGTAGGTGCCCGGGCTGAAGACCGGCGCGGGGCTCAGCGTCCCCGCGGGTCCCGGCCCCTCGGCGCCCGCGGCCCCGCCGCCCTCCCAGTGGCCCTGGCCGCCGCTCCGGTTCCCCGAATACATGGCCCGGCGCCGGCGCGCTCGGCGGCCGCGGCGCTCAGCGTCCTGCGCGGGCCGCACTGGGTGGGGCTCCGGCTCAGCCGCCCGCCGGGGCCATTGTGCGCGCCAGGACCTCCGCGCGTCACCAGAGGCCGCCCGCCCCCCCCCCCGCCCCTTCCGCCCGGCCGCCGCTGTAGACCCGCCCCCTGTGCCCGCGCGTCGCAGACCCCGCCCCTCCCCGCAGACCCGCCCCTCTGCCCGGGCGCGCTCCTGTAGCCCCGCCCCTACCGCCCCGCGTGAGGCGTTCCCGCCGTTCCCCGCTCCGCGAGTTCCCCCTCGTAGCTCCGCCCCCTTCCGGCTATGCTTCCCCCGCGCCCCCCCGGAGCGTCCGCTTCCCCGCGGCTCCGCGCGTTCTCAGCCGCTTGGTTGCAACCCCGCCGTCTCCCTTTGGCGCGTCTTCCGCTCCGCTCGCACCTGGGGCACCAGACCCTCCGTCCAGGCACCTGAACCCCTGCCCCCGCTTGCCCCGCAGTAGTGGACGGTGCTGGGCGAGCGGGGAGGAGCTCCGCACCCCGTCTCCCTGCGCCCGGCTTGAAAGCGTCCCACCCGTGCGCCCATTCGCTCGCTCACCTGTGCATCCGCTCGGTTATAAACGCTGGTGCGCGCTTGCGCCTAACACAGCTAAGGAGGGGGTGGCGAGAGCCGCCCATCGCGGGTTTCTCGTCTTCCCAAGCAGCTGCAGTAACCCCCTGCCTGCCCACGGCACACACTCCTCGCACACACGTGAGTGAGCTCCCAGCACCAGCCTTGTCCTCCCTGTGCTGTTCGGAGCCCCGCCAAGGCCCCTCACTGGCCGTAACCGCCCAGACGGTGCCCTCGAAGCTTCAACCTAAATCTAGCTGGTATAGACAGGTAGGTGCTATATTTAGAACAAATTTTCCACTTGGCCTTTTCCCCAGTAGCGATGAAAATATAGTACAAGTCAAATATAGGTTGTGAACGTGAGCACAGTCTGCAAGGGCTGCACCGCTGTCCCTGCACAGCCCCTAACAAGGCCCAGCCCAGTGTGGAAGGGCCCAGGAATTGTCTTCTGTGAGGGTGTTTACCCCTTCCACCCCTGTTCAAAACACCAGCAGAGAATGACCAGCTGCACTGAACCCCCATTCTAAGTTCCCTGGAAATAGAGAATCAAATAGGGCGCGGTCATCTCTCCACCCTGGTGCATTGGGCAGTAACTGGGGGGGAAGGGGGGGTTCTCCCCTGGAAACCTGTATTTGTCTTTAAACATTCCAATCTGGATTTGTCGTCTCTGAGGCTATTAACCCATCCACACCTTTAGAATTCATTTCATTTTCTATTTTAGATGTATGCAAACATTTAACAAGTTCTATATGTTTAATGTTCACTGTGTTTTCATCGCACTGCTTGCCTAGCCTACAGTAAGTTCTCACTAAATATTAGTTGAATGACTAAAGAAGGACTTTATGTTTTTTGTAAAGCATTCATTCATTCATTGGTGCTGAGTTCATGCCCTCACAAATTCTGGTACATGCTGATATGTGCCATAAAGAAAAAATAAGGCAGAGAAAGGGTATGGGGAGAGAGGGAAAAAGGTCATTGTACCTACAGCACAAATGGTTCTGTAGGCATAGAGAACATGTACTGGGTTGGGATTGTTCTTAGCATTTTGGAGGAAAAACAAGGAAACCAATGTGGCTGGAGCAGAAGGAGAATTAAGAAGTGAGGGCAGAAACATGGGTGAGCAGTGATTGGGCGGATCACGCAGGGCTGTGGCCATTTTAATAAAAGGACTTTGGCTTTTACTCTCATAAAGTCCAGGGCAACATATATGGAAGAAGAATAATACCAAGCAAGGAAAAAGAAGAGCAAGAAGTTTTTGGTAAATGTGTAAGAATTTTGATAGAGTCATTATTATAATACTATTAACAGTAAAAGATATTGTACTCAACAGAAGCAGACCCTAATACCACGAATATGATTTATATTGTAAAAAATGATATTTTTTTATTTTCAGAAGTATGTTATGATAGGAGATGGCAAAGTACTACAACTGAAAAAGCAAGTGCAGTCCTGGCATAAGGAAAAGGAAAGTCTGTCCAACAAATGGTGGTAAGAAACCACCTGGATGTCCAAATGCAAAAAAAAAAAGTTGTACCTTTCTCTTACAGCATATGGAAACATTGACTCAAAAAGGAAGAAACAGCTAAACTTAGGAACTAAAACTACAGAACCCTTAGAAGAAAACATAGGAGAAAGGTCTTCATTGCATTGGTTTTGGCAATGATTTCTTCACAATGGCACCAAAGGCATAGGCAAATAAGAAAAAATAGATAAGTAAACTTCAACAAAATTTAAATTTTTTGTGTATCAAAGGACACTGGAGAAAGTGAAATGATATTCTATAAAATATTTGCAAATCATAGATCTGTGAAGAATTAATATACAGAATATAAAAGGAATTCCTACAACTCAACAATAACAATGACAACAAACCCAAGAAACCCAATTCAAAATGGGCAGAGGACTTGAATAGACATTCCTACAAAGATATCGTTCTCAACAGAAGCATGGCCAACAAGCACATGAAAAGACGCTCAGTATCATTAGTCATTATGGAAATGCAAATAAAACCCACAGTGAAATATCACTTTACACCTGCTAGGATAGTTATTCTCAAAATGTAAAACTAAAAGCTAAAAAAAAAAGGAAAATAATAAGTGTTGACAAGAATGTGGAGAAACTGTAACCCTGGTGTGCTGCTGCTAAGAATCTAAGATGGTGCAGCTACTATGCAAACAGTGTGGCAGCTCCTCAAAAAGTTAGAATTATCATATGATCCAGCAATTCCATATATATGTGTATATATATATATATATATATATATATATATACACACACACACACCCACAAGAATTGAAGGCAGGGACTTGACTAGATATTTGTACACCGATGTTCATAACAGCCAAAATGTGGAAATAACACACATGTCCATCACCAGACAAATGGATAAACCAAATGGGGCATACAACTGAATACTTTCCATCTGTAGAAAGGAATGCATTTCTAGTATATTACAACATGGATAAACGTTGAAAACATTATGCGAAGTGAAATAAACCAGACACAGAAGGACCAGTATTGTATGATCCCACTTACTTGAGCTACCTAGAATAGGAAGATCCATTGAGGCGGAAACCAGAATAGTGGTTGCTATGGGGTGAGAGCTGAGGGGGGAGGCACTGAGAGCGGTTAAGATCACAGAGCTTCAGTTTCCGATGATGCAAAAGTTCTGAAATGGACAGTGGTAGTCGTTGCATAATACTGTGAATGTACTTCATGCCATTAAATTGTACACTTTTACGGTATGTATATTTTCACAATAAAAGAGCAGATGCAAATTGTGCCTGTGTCTCAGGTACAGGAAACAGATGCAGCCACCTTATTGAGTAAGCTGGACTTGGCAGGTGTAAGCAGAAAATAACTTTACTCTCTCTCATTACTGATTTCAAATGTCTCTCTGCACCTGTTCTATAACTGCCTTTGGATGATATTTCATGAGGTTCCATAGCCTGTCTGGTCAATTTCAATTAATATAAAGTCCCGAACATTGTGATACTGAAATGTTAAAATTTATGAAAAACTCACTTGTCCATCCTCCCAAACAGAGCCTGCATCAGGCTGGAGAACTTCAGGGGATGGGTGTGGAGGAGGTAACAAGTTTAGCTTCTCCCATTTCCTGAATCTGCTACCTTTAGATGCTACCCTGGGACCCCCCGGGGATTTCAAGCAAAAATCTTCCTTGATTGGTAAAGTTGTCATCTGATGTTGGCACACTCAGATTGTAGCAGATTTTTCATTTTCTAGGGTGATTTGTGGGTTCTTTTGGGGACCTGAGGTCATGGAGATATTTCTCTCACAAGTCTCTTGACAGAGGTATTGCCTTTGTCAGCTGTCTGCTTGCATCTCCCACTAGGACCCCAGTTAGGACCCCGAGACCCTGCAGGCGGTCTTCTCCAGTAGGGGTTCTCTCAAAATGCATGCATTCTAGTGACGGCAAATTCTGGTTGTGGACTGTTGTGGAGAACTGGCCAGCCGCTGTTTCTCCCCTCTGGTGCCCACTGGGTAGAAAGAAACTGAGAACAGTCACGGCCCTTTGACTACTCTGAAAATTCCAAAGAAATGCTAACTAGCACTCTCTTCAGTCACCTAAGAAACTACCTTCTCTTCAGTAGTTTGAAGGTGAGAATAAGCTACTACCTGCAGAACTGGCTTCCTAGTGTCTCTGTACATCTTTCTGCATGGACTGTGCAGCCCTGTCCTTTAGAAAGAGGGAGCTCTTCAGTTATATTGTGGGGCCCCTTCCAAGGCATCAAGGGGTCTATTTTAATATCTTCCTACACTGGAGCACTAAATCATCCCTATAATATAATCAATCCTATAAAGGATTCTAAGCAAATCCTCTATAAAGTACCAGGGGGCAGTGAGGGGGAATGGATACCTGTTCTATCTGCTATTCTTGCATGGGATCACTGATAATCTTCAGCCTTCTGCATCATGCACATGTCATAGGAGAGGGGACTTCTACACTTGCACGATCAAGTAAATTTCCAAGGACTGGGATGCATGCTTCCCTGCTCTCTCTAATCCTGGTCCCTGGTGAGAAACAGAGAGCCTTTACAGATGTATCTTGCCAAATACATCTGCACCTTTTCCTGCCTTACGAAACATCATTTAGTGAATGAAATTGAATTTAAAAAGAGAATCTGGCATGGCTTCAGTTCTGAATATCAGTTCTCCTAGTGCATCTAGCTCCTCAGATGTGTAGGAATCAGCTTAATGTATAAACTGTGTGCCTGTCCACATTCCCCTTCCTTAATGCATACATTTAAATAAATGCATACATTTCAAATGAAATTTCATTTAGAACCTTGCCCTTAAAAGCAGAGTTTGAATGACCAAGGACTTAGGAAACTTTAAACATTCAGCTTCTTAACAAAAATGGTTAGCGAAGTTACGGTTTATGTATAATCAAAATAAGAATAAATCAATGGGGGCGCCTGGGTGGCTTAGTCAGTTAAGCGTCCGACTTTCGCTTAGGCCATGATCTCGCGGTTCGTGGGTTCGAGCCCCGTGTCGGGCTCTGTGCTGACTGCCAGCTCAGAGCCTGGAGCCTGTTTCAGTCTGTGTCTCCCTCTCCCTAACCCTCCCCTGCTCACGCTGTCTCTCTCTCTCTCTCTCTCTCTCTCTCTCTCTCTCCTAGAAATAAATAAAAATATTTTTAAAAAAAAAAAAAGAATAAATCAATGAAGTAATCACTCCTTAGGGTGAAATGAGTATTCTCAGCTGATGCCTGTGGAAGGACACAGGGAGGACATGATACCAGCTACCAGGTACTGCTAAGAATCTAGGTCATGCTTACTGGGGCTTTTCAGAATAAAAAGATGACGCAAGAGCAGATGATCTGCCTGTCTATCTATCTATCATCTATCTATCTATATCTATCTAGCTCTCTAGAGAGAGATCTCCACACCAATAACCATTGTAGTGAAAATTTCATACACTTGGCAGAGAAAGAACATTTATAAGCTTCCTAAATTGTGTGTGTGTGTGTGTGTGTGTGTGTGTGTGTGTGTGTCTGTAAGGGGCAGGGGATAAAAACAAGCCATGTACAAAGAATCAGGGATAGAATAGCTTATGATAGCCACAGAAGCAGATCCAAAAAGACTTCTTGTAATAACATGAAAGACAAAAAGTGGGATAAAACCTTCAGGATATTAAACGAAAGGGATTTCCAACCTAGAATTCTATACCTAACCCAATATCAATCAAATGCAAGAGAAGATTAAGAATATTTTCAAACATGCAATGTATATCAAAAATGTATCTTCCAGGAACTATTTCTGGATGTAAGCCACCAAAATGAGGGAATAACCCATGGAAAGGAAGGGCATAGATACAGGAGAGCAGATAAGGGCATTTCCAAAATGATGGCAAAGGTGGATAACAGTATGACAGCTATGCCCTGACACATAGATGGCATTAGTCCAGGCTGCAGGAATGTGACCTAAGAGGCACGCAAAGGAGTGACATCAGGATGCCTTCTCTTGTATCACCTTTTTATACTAGCCCAAGGACACCATTTCACCTTGTAAATAGACTTTATTTTTTCAGTTTATTTATTTTTAGTAATCAGTACTCCCAACATGGGGCTCACCCAACATGGGGCTCAAACTCACGATCCTGATATCAAGCATCACCTGCTCTTCCAACTGAGACAGCAAGGCACCCCTTTAGAACAACTGTTGATTTACAGAAAAACAGAAGAGAGCGCAAGCAGTTCCCGCAGACTTTCTCACCCAGTTTCCCTCCTCATTAACATCTTATTCTAGTTTATTTGTTACAACTAAGGAACCAGTATTGATACTCGCTAATAACTAAAGCCCACAGCTTAGTCAGATTGCTTTTGTTTTTACCTAATGTCTTTTTGTGTTCCAGGATCCCAGTCAGGATGCCACATCACACTGAGTAATCAAATCTCCTTAGGCTTCTCTCAGCTGGGATAGTTTCTCAGACATTCCACATTTCCCATGACCTTGATAGTTTGAGAGGTACTGGTCGAGGTTCATTTTGTTTTGTTGTCTTGAAATATAGTTGACAATGTTGTATGAGTTTCAGGTGTACAACATGGTGACCCGACATTACTCCATGTTCATTATGATAAGTGTAGCTACCATCGTTACCACCCTATATCATTACAGTATTATTGACTATATTCCCTATGCTGCATTCAACTGATAACATCCTGAAGAACTTTCCTCTAAATCAAAAGTTACCCCTTCCCCATTCCTGCCACACTTTATTATTTCCACTGAAGGTTGATGCATAAAGGAAGAAGAAACTTCTTTATTCCCTAGGACCTCTAAAAATATCTTTATTTGGGACAGAAATGACAAATACTGAAATACACCTTCATCTTGAGAACTTTGTGGTTCCATATCCAGTGCAGCTATGAGAATGAGTGGCGAGATGACTCCACAGCATCTTGAGGGAGGCAGATGGTTTGAGGTAGGAGGAGATCTGGGAGAGGGAAAGTAATGCCCAGTTTCCTTCGCTGACCTTTGCCTATTTGACTTCCCTCCAGGCAGTGTACACACACACACACACACACACACACACACACCACACACACACTGTGCAGGGAAGGAAAGCTCAATGCCCTCCTTATGGAGGAAGGGGAGGTAACAGAGATATTATGATGCAATGAGGGTCATTTGAAGGACACTGGTAACATTATGAGGTCAGAATATTACTGAAATGTTTGCCTATGTGAACTGCATTACATTAAATCAGGGCCCCTCCCTGCTAATGTCCTAGTGATGAGTCTGACTCCTCCCCACAGTATGGGATTTTGAGACTGAAGGAATGAGACCTGGGACAGAAACTGAGACAGCAGGGAAGGTACCTGTACCAATGGGAAGGTTTTCCAAGCTGGCAAATCTGTGCTATTTATTTCTGCACAGAAATAAATAACCCTACATCCCTATGGATACCAGGGAGGGGAAGCATTTAAACACTGCACTTCAGGTTAGTAATTTCAAGACAGCCTTGAAGGGGTTTGAAAAATTGATTGAACGTGTAGCAGCCCAGAAAAGAGACGAAAGAGCAGGCCTGTTTATCCAAAAACAAGGTAAGATCAGTGATTATAGGGCAACCCAACTGGGTCTGTGGATTAGAACTGTCAAATGTTTTAGGCCATCGAAGAGAAGCAATGTTGCTTAATGGCAAAGACATTGAATGGGAGGTCTGAGTTCTGACTCTGTCTCTAAATAGCTAAGTGGTCCTGGGGAAGCTTTGTTCATTTCCTTGAACCTAAATTTGAGACATCAAAAGTAAAATTAAGGGGTTTCACTAAGTGGCAGCTAAGCATTCTTTCATGGGATCTACCTCTTCTTTTTTTCTTTCATAGTTTATTGTCAAGTTGGTTTCCATATAACACCCAGTGCTCAACCCAAAAAGTGCCCTCCTCCATGCCCGTCACTCCCCTTCCCCTCTCGCCCACCCCCATCACCCCTCAGTTTGTTTGTTCTCAGCATTCAAGAGTCTTTCATGGTTTGCCTCCCTCCCTCTCCCCAACTATTTTTCCCCTTCCCCTCCCCCATCACCCTCTGTTAAGTTTCTCCTGATCCACTTATAAGTGAAAACATATGGTATCTGTCTTTCTCTGCCTGACTTATTTCGTACAGCATAATACCCTCAAGTTCCATCCATGCTGCTACAAATGGCCAGATTTCATTCTTTCTCATTGCGATGTAGTATTCCATCGTATAGATAAACCACATCTTCTTGATCCATTTGTCAGTTGATGGACATTTAGGCTCTTTCCATGATTTGGCTATTGTTGAAAGTGCTGCTATGAACATTGGGGTATGTGTGCCCCTATGCATCAGCACTCATGTAACATGGGATCTTCCTTGATATCTTGCTGTTTGACCTGGGACTCCCAGTAGTGCGTTGTGACAATTTGCAAGCCATGGAAGTCGCTCTGCGACCTCTTAAGGGTGTCATGGGACCATAAAGACTTTCATAAGCAAGGCAAAGTTTTTTTTGAAACTTTGGTTCACTGCCTGGGCCTCCCCTTATGCCTCTAGGCTGGAATGATTTGGAGCACACCAAGGTAAGAAGAATGAGGTAGGCAGTGGTCTGCCAGGATTATTAACAGCAGAAATACCAACACAGAATGGAAAGTACACCACCATGGTCAGGACTCAAGGGGACAACTTTAGGGCATTGAGGACAGCAGTGACAAATAAGGCTTAACAGCAGAGTAAAAGATTAATGGAACCATTCCTGCTGTTACAAGGAAAGGCCCAGAACCCATACACCTGCAAATGGGTCAGCATGGCCAGCCTCTTAATGTGCCAAGCTGGACAGCCACAAATGACTGAAGTTGTTGACTTTCCATGTTCAAACACAAAACTTGTATTATTTGAATTGTGCTTAAGAATTTGTAAATCACCTTAACAAATATAATTTAATTGATTGTTATGACAAATATTACTATTATTGCAGTCACCCTCATTTTATTTGTTAAAGGATGGGAAGTACATGATCTGCCCAAGTCACTCAACCTCTATGTGTTAGAACTAAGACTCAGAGCTTCTAGATGTACTGTTTAGATGATTGTGAACTTGGCTGGGCTTTCTAAACCTGTTGACAAAACTTTTATTTTTTATGTATTAAAAAATTTTTCCCCAGTATGTTTACCGGTCTCTGAGCCCTTACCACTTTTACTGAATCCTCTCTGGATCTTGCCTCCCCTTGGCTGGATTCCACCATAAGAAACAACAAGTCCAGAAGACAAGAATTCTCTCAAACTCCCTTTCCTCCACTTCCGAGTTTCCCATTTCTTCCATCCTTCCTCCTCTCGAAGACTATCACTCTACTGCAACAACTTCAAAATCCCCTATTTGGCTTTGTTCTCTCAAACTAAAAATTTACCCAAACGTCCAGACCTTGACATTCTTTTCCCTGTAAGCTGCCACTGTATGCCTTTCCTTTGCTTCTGCACTAAATTTCTCCACAGTGTCACCACTTAATTTTCAATCTACTCAAGTCTGACTTCTCTCATCACTTTGCTGAAAATGCTCTTACCAAGCTATTTCATCACCTAATACAGCTGCCAAATTCAATCAATTGTTTTCATTTTCCAGTTCACTTGGCTATTTCACTGCAACAGCAGCTTGCTGCTTTTGCTTCCAGAAACTGTCTCCTTCTCTGTGTGTCATCACACCTCTCTCTTTATCCCCTTTCTCATTCTTTCTTTGCCTCGTTTTTATTTTGAGCCTTGCCCGTGTTCTCTATCAACATTAAAGCACAGACCCCATCTATCTACTCTCCTAAGACAGATATCTTGCTATATAACCTTTGACTATTTCATCATGGTATCTCACTCTTGGGTTATTTCAATAGCCTTTCAATATAATAATCTTCTTGCCAAGTGTTATTCCTTTTTTAAAAAAAAATATTTTTTAGAGAGAGAGAGAGAATGAGTGGGAGAGAGTGGCAGATGGGGAAAGAGAAAATCTTAATCAAGCCCATGCTCAGCTTGAGCCCAATGCGAGGCTCGATCCCACCACCCTGGGATCGTGACTTGAGTCAAAATCAAGTCCCGGATGCTCAACTGACTGAGCGACCCAGGTGTTCCAAGAGTTATTCCTTTAATTTTTTTTTAACTACCTCATTGCTAGCTTATTAACTCAGCTCTAAAGTCTATTTATGCTAACTTCATACTCGGAGCTATTTCCAGCCATGTCTCAATCTACCTTTCCAACCTCAGCTGCTGGAACTTCCTTTCATAAACTTTCAGTCCCAGTATGAAGTTTTCAGCACCCCCAAGCGGCTCATACACTTATGTCTCTAATTTTACATGTATCATCCCCCAAGTGTAGAGTGCCTTTCCTTCTTCTTTTCTGTGTGTGTGTGTGTGTGTGTGTGTGTGTGTGTGTGTGTGTGTGTGCCTGTCTGTCTATAACCTTTTCTCATCTTTCAAGATCCAAATCAAATGTCATCTCTTTGTAAGAACTTTCCCCTGGCCAAGCCATCCTTAGCACACTGTTAACTTGCCATCTCAAGGAATATCCCTGCTGAAATGAGTGTCTTCCTCCCCCTCTCTCCCATAGCACTTGAACTGTGAGTGCTTGGAAGGCTTTATAACCCTGGAGCTAGCCCAGAGTCCTGTGTCCAGGAAGTACTCCTGACATGTGTGCTAAGCAAAGAAGTTAATCTTGCTTTCACTTAGAGCTTGCAATCACAAAGCTACATTGAAAAACTTCCTTCCTTTATAGTATATATGTATATGTGTATGCATACATACATATACATACATATATATGTATATATATACACACAGAAGGAATATATTTTAATAGGTATATAGTGAATATTATAGAATATTATACTGTAATATGCTACAGTATAATTTATAATATATAGATATAGATATACAGTATAGATTTGATAAAAACTAAGTACAGATAAATTTCCTTCTATGAGAGAGGGACTGACCTGAAAGACTGAGAAAGGAGAAATATAATCTTTTCATCAGACTTCTAATACTAGCATACATTCATATTCACTCATAAATATTGGAAAATAGGGTTTATTTCTCACTATAGGCAAGAAGCTAAGAATTAGAGAGAATGTTTTTAATGTAACAGTGTCTACCTCAAAAATGATGTCAAAGAATTCACCCAAGAAATTTTCTGTGTAATATTGCTGTTCAATTTTCTTGTCAGTTACCTGACAGAATTAAAATCACCCTAGGAAAGGAAAGTTTCATCATGCTCATCCAGTGGCATTTACAGTGAGACTCATTTACAGGGAGACACATCATACTCACAATGGTGTGAATTTAAAGCAGCTAAATTGTTTTAATATCTCATAGGTATTTTACATTTAATATGACCAAGAGAGAATGCTTTATTTTCACCCCAAGACTCATGGTCCTTCCTCAGTTGCTTCTGTTTTGGTAAATAGCACCAATAACTGCTGAGTTTTAAAGCCAGAAGTGTGAGTGTCATTCTAGGACAAGATTTCTCAACTTTGGGGCTATCCTGGTGCCTCATGGGATAGATAGCAGCATCTCTGGCCTCTACCTACTAGATGACACAGCACTTCCATTCCTAACTGTGACAGTGAAAATTGTCTGCAGATGACATTGCCAATATCCCCGTGGGAGATGGAGGGCAAATCCTCCCCTGGATGAGACCCACTGCTCTGGAATCCTGATAGTTCTTCACTCCCCCACTCCTGCTCCCAACAGCTTCCAATCCATCACAAGTCTTTGCCATTCTATTTCCAACTATATCTTGCCATCTCCAGTGCTACCTCTCACTATATATCGCTTATCATCCAATTGAGGAAACTTTCAAGAGTGAAAGGTGTTGTTATTAATAACTAAGTTGAGAAGATCAGTATAAACGAGACTTTTCAAGACAGCCCAGGACGTACATCGGCTTCTGCATCGCTCTGGCCAAGGCTCTACCACCTGAATCACAAACGAGTGCCCAGCCCTTGCTGTCATTCTTATCTTCTCACAGCAGCCAGTGTGCTTTGAGAAAAATTTAATGCAATACATTACCATCATGCTTACCCTCATGCTTAGAATAAAACACAAACTGCTGACTCCAGCTTGACCCCTCTTGGTGATCTCACCTCACAATGCTTTCCCTGTGCTCACTATACTCCGTACCCACAGACCTTCTCAGAACATGCCAAACTCTCTCCAGCTTCAGAGTCTTTGCTGGTTGGCCTCTGCCTAAAATGCCCTTATCTGGCTTTGCACCTAGCCAGATGAATCCTTTTTGCTTATTAGGTCTTAGCTTAATTGTTTTTACCTGTGTCCTTAGAGAGGCTTTCTTGCCCGCCACCACTGATAGATAAAGAACTCTCTCGGGGCACCTAGGTGGCTCAGTTGGTTAACTGTCCGACTTCGGCTCAGGTCATGATCTCACGGTTCGTGGGTTCGAGCCCTGCGTCAGGCTCTGTGCTGACAGCTCAGAGCCTGGAGCCTGCTTCAGATTCTGTGTCTCCCTCTCTCTCTGACCCTTCCCTGCTCACTCTCTCTCTCTCTCTCTCTCAGAAATAAATTTTAAAAATTAAAAAAAAAAGAATTCTCTCATAGCTCCCATTGGTTTCCTTCTTATCACTCAGCTCACTCTATACCTAATAACGTTTACTTCGCTCCTATGGTATGATGTACATGTGCTGGAGCCCATAGAACACACTAATCTTAAGTATATGGCACAGTAAATTTGGACATTGGTGAATATACCTGCAGCTGCCAACCATATCCAGACAAAGAACATTTCTAGCATCCCTGAGAGTTCCCTCATCACCTCTCATATTAGATACCACTAATCTAATGTCTAGCTCTAGTAATTAGTCTTGCCCTTCACAATCTGTAAATGCTTTATTTGCTAGTTTACTTGTTGATTTGCTGTGTCTCCCACTAGAACACAGGGAGAGGTAGGGAAGTTGTCTGCCTGGTTTTGCATTCTCAGTCCAGTGTCTAACTCAGTTCCCACAGGTAACACATTCTCAATACATCTTTGCATTTAATTCCTTATTGTCTTTAGACAGAATAGTAGCTCCCAGGTGAATCACCACATTTGGCAAAATTGATGTTCAAGTATGATGTGTGTGTGTGTGTGTGTGTGTGAGTCCATTTAGGTTCAAAGAACCTATCAAGAATTACTCCCTTCCATCGAAGATGAGCTCTAGCAGACACTCTTGACTGGTAAAAATTTTCATGATAGGAAGTAATCCACTTTCTCATCTTTGTATTCCTGAACAAAACCCCTAAAATAATTGAAACATAATCTATGGAGGAAGAACTAAACACCAAAATAAAATATTTTCTTCTAATGTTTTAACCAAGGGCCTAATTATGTTTCTGATGAAAAGAGCCTTAAAATGCAGCATAATCTGGTTTTAATAGGTTGAAATAATGAAATAGGTTAGAAAATAGAAAAAGAGCTGAGAAAAGCAATATAGTTCTTGGAGTCTGATAACGATCTTCCTGCACTTTGTCCCAATGCAGATGCAATCGATTATGACAAGTTTTATGCAGCCGTGAAGGAACTCTTTGGTCCAGAAGTGAAGAATCAAGATGTGAAATGTTTTTACAGGAAGCTCTGCAACAACCCCGATATGTCTATAGACTGGTGTGAGGTAATCACTTTTCATGTTCCTTACATGAAATCTGGGGTATTATTTCTCCTGTTCAGGATGAATAATTGAATCAGAAAGTTACTCCCACAGGGGTTAAGCTCACAACGTGTGTGTGTGTGGTATATGTAAATGCCATAAAGACATGTCCACCATTGGGGCGCCTGAGTGTTTCAGTCTGTTAAGCATCTGACCCTTGATTTTGGCTCAGGTCATGACCTCCCAGTTGGTGAGACTGAGCCCCGCATCAGGCTTTGTGCTGACAGCATGGAGCCTGCTTGGGATTCTCTCTCTCGCCTTCTCTTTCTGCCCCTCCCCCAGTGACGTGTGCTCCCTCTCTCTCTCTCTCTTAAAAAACAATGAAAAACATGAGGTGGCCACCAACGCTAACTGAAAATGAGTTAGACAGAGGTTTTAAGTGTATTATTAATAGGTAACTCTTAAATACTTTTAGGCTGAGCTCTCAAATGGAAGAAGTATACAAGCCATAATAACAACAAAGATGTTGATTGTCTTTGTTACATTTTATATGAGATATTCCTTTTTAATTACTTCCTCGCATACAAATATTATATACAGAAGAAAGAAAAAGACTGTGGTTGGCCACCTCTTACATTCCTGAGTCTCTTCCTTGTCAATTCATCATTGAATGCCTTCCACCATGGCACATAGGAGCAGATTTGGTTAAGTGATCTATGGACTATGGCAAAGGAGAAAGGAATGCCTTTGATCTTTGTCTAAACTCAAAGAAGACTACACTCTGCAGATATTTTTTATAAACCCAGATTCTTCTTATTCTAAAAGGATTTGAGGTAGCTTGCAATTTTAAAAAATTGCACATATACATACATAGAACTTACAGTAATATTAAAAATTATCAGGCTTTTTAAAAATAAATCAGTAGATAATATAGACAAAAGGAAAAGATTTCAAAGATATATATCTACATATATATATAAATATATATATAGTAGATATATATAAATATAATTTTGAACCCAAGTAATAGGTAAGACACATCTTCTCGACTATATGTGGGGCAATCAGAAAACTGTACATGTATAAAGCTAAAAATAACATTTCAATAAATTCCAATATACTAAAATTAGAAAGCAGTAATTAAAGATAGACCAAATCCCCAAGAACCAACCAAATCAGAAATAATCAATTAGTTTGGGGGGAAATTGCAAACAAAAAAACCTATTAAGCCTTTAAACACTACATAATTCCCACACCATATACATTTTTGTACAACTTAGGAAAAGCTGAAAAGTTATGAGGCTAAAATCACATGAATTGAGCAAAAATAAAATGTCAGGGAATTATAGGCCAATATTACTTATGAATACAAATGCTAAAGTCCTAAATAAAAGTTTAACAAGTTGCCTCCAGCAGCACACTAAAAAATCATTCCCAGGGAAAATTTACACCAGAAAAGTAAGGGCAATTTAATAGTTAGCAAAACGAGGCCTGTGGGCCAAACTGGACATCGGTTGTTTTGTGAACAGGGTTGACTGGAACACAGCAACGATTTCTCATCCACATACTGTCTGTGGCTACATCTGTGCTTCAATAACAGAACTGAATATTGTGACAGAGAAGGACTGGCCTGCAAGCCTGCAATATTTATTACCTGAACCTTTTCAGAAAAAGTTTGCAGACTCCTGATCTTAAAATAACATAAAAATAAAAAAAGGTATTTGATAGAAATTCAAGAGCTGTTCCTGCTTTTATTTATTTTTTTTTATTGCAAATTATTAGAGTAACTTAATAGAGCAGATGTTTATTATATTCCCTGGTGTAAATTAATACTGGATTTTGTTCTAGCTGTTTTGGAAGTTTAAGATGATAATGTAATCTTACACTGTCAGTTTAATAGAATCTATTCTTTTTTTTTTTTTTTTT